CATAATCCGATAATGCAGGCCAAGCAGATCGCTACCCTGGACCACTTCTCCGGCGGCAGGTTCCTGTTCGGCATCGGCGCAGGCTGGCTGAAGGAAGAGACCGAAATAATGGGCGGCAACTTCGAGCACCGCTGGGGTCAGACCCGCGAAGCCATACTAGCCATGAAGGAACTCTGGACCAAGGACGAAGCCGAGTTCCACGGCCGCTACTACGACTTCCCGGTGGTCATATGCTCTCCCAAGCCGCACACAGCCCCACCCGCCTGTCTTCCTGGGCGGCTACGCCTCTAACGTGTTCAAGCGCGTCGTGGCCTGGGGCGATGGTTGGATGCCGGTTCGGGTTACCGAAGAGCAGGTGAAAGCTGGCCGGGCCAGCCTGGACGAACTGGCGGAAGCCGCCGGTCGCGACCCTGATTCCATCCAGTTGATAGTCTGCAACATCAATCCTGACAAGGACCTCGTCCGCCGTTATGAGGACGCCGGGGCCACCAGGGTTACCATCCCCCTACCCTTGGACTCGGGCGAAGGGTCTCTCTCGGAAATGGACCGCATCGCCGAGCAGGTCTTCGGCTAGACCACTGGGAAGGCCATGCACACACCCGACTGGTCGTTTCTGCGCGGCAGGAACGACGGTGAACACTGGGCCAGCGTCCATGCCACGCTCCCGGAACTCGTGGCATGGGCCGATATATCCGACTTCGAGTACTACATGGGTATGATACCCTTCCCTTACGATAACCCCGAGGCCGTCCGATGTTACGAGACGGCCAAGTCCGGCGCCCAATCCCAAGAGTTAGAATTCAGCCACCAGCACTACGTTTCCGGCTTCCTGGGCGCGGTCCACGACGAGTGCGTCAAGCGGCTGCACATGGGCGGTTGATCGGCCGCAGGCCGTCAGGCTTGAGTGGGACTCTCTGGCGCCGGCGGCCTCTCCAGCAATTCCAGCCAGTTGCCGTCGGGGTCCTGCATGTAACAGCCCTTACTGGCCATGGGGTATACCGCTCCGGGACGTATCGCCGGCGGGCTTACGAACCGGGCTCCCCGGCTTGAAAGCTCTGCGTAAAAGGCGTCCAGATCGTCCACTATGACACCCAGATGCGAAGCCCCCACTTGGTGCCGCTCCGGCATGGCCACCACTGTCCCCGGAGGGTTGAGGTACTGGATAATCTCCACCGAATGCCGTAAGTCCCCCGTGCCAAGGTAGACAATGTGCAGCCGCGCGTCTGGATATCCCGCCAGTTCCGAGATGAACTCCCCTTCCAGAATCTGGTCTCGTTCTTCTTTGAGTCCCAGCAGGTCCCGATAGAAGGTCAGGGACCTTTCCATATCGCTTACCACGAACCCGGTATGGTTCATCCATTCAACTTCCATTGCTACTCTCCCTGTTTAGCCTCGTAGTCATTACCTGCCTTCTTTGACCCAGTCCGCCACCCGCTCGGCGATGAGGACGGCGGTGCAGTTGGTGTTGGCGCGAATCACGTCCGGCATCACCGAAATGTCCGCCACCCGCAGTCCCTCGATGCCGTGCACCCTGCAGTACTGGTCCACCACCGCCATCGGGTCGGCGGCGTGCCCCATCCTGCAGGTCCCTGACGTGTGGTATTGGGTGCCGATGTTGTCCAACAGCCACGCATCCAACGCCTCGTCTGAGGCCAGGTCGGCGTCATCGGGGGAAATCCTGCGTGTGATGAGACCCCGGAACGCCGGATGGTCGCCAAGGCGCACCGAGAGGCGCACCCCTTCTCGCATCCGCTGTAAGTCCCATGAGTCACTGAGATAGCGGAACTCCATCACCGGAGGATCGTCGGGGTTGCTGGACCGCAGCCTCAACTCCCCGGCGCTGAGGGCGTTCTGGACACTGGAGTAAATGGTGATGCACTTGCCTCCAATATCCAGCGGCAGCCCCTCCGGCACATGTGCCGGGTCCAGCGAAAGTACGCCTACGTGCATGTCGTCCCGGGTGGCAGACCCTTCGGTGGTGTAGCGGAGCAACGTCTGAATCATCGCCTCCGTGTCGTCCGGCAACTCACCTTGGTACTCGTAAAGGGCCATCGCCATAGGATGATCGCGCAGGTTATGGCCCACGCCGGGCAACTCGTGGACAACGTTGATACCGACGTCTGCCAAGGCTGCGGCAGGCCCCACGCCGGAGAGCATCAGCAACTGGGGCGAGGCTATGCCGCCGGAACTGAGAATGATCTCCTTCCCTTCCACTGTCATCCTTTCCCCGCCGCTCTCGACCTCCACCCCAATCGCCCGCGCACCGTCGAACAGTATCCGCCTGGCGGGCGCGTTGGCGCGAATGGTAAGGTTCAGCCTGTGCCTCGCCTCGGACAAGTAGGCCAGGGACATGCTCATCCGGACACCGTCCCTGTGATTCAAGGGCACGGGACCTATGCCGGTTGCATCGGGGCTGTTCTCATCCAGTGACTCCGGGAACCCCTCGGCCAAGCAGGCCTCATAGAAGGCTTGGGCAAACGGGACCATGTCCGGCCTGCGGTATCGCCGCACCGGGATCGGCCCGTCGGAACCGTGAAAGTCGCCCCGAAAGTCCTGGTCGCTCTCCATCTTCCGGAAGTACGGCAGCATCTTGGCAAAGCCCCATTCATCGTTGCCTTGGTCCGCCCAGCCGTCGTAGTCCTCGGGTATCCCCCGCAGAAACACTTGGCCGTTCACTGCGCCTGAGCCGCCCACCACCTTCCCTCGCGGAATAGGTATGGCAGCGGACTGCCGCTCGGTAATGTTGCCCAAGTACTCCCAACTGTGTGGCCCGAAGGCGGATCTCAGGAGGTTGTTGCCCCGCTTCAGTTCATCGGGCAGCAGATCAAGGTCCGGGTAGTCCGGCCCCGCCTCCAGCAACAGCACGGAACGGGCGGGGTCCTCCGAAAGCCGCGCCGCAAGTACGCTGCCAGCCGACCCGGCTCCGATCACAATTACATCGTAGATCATCTTCTACCTCCAAGTCAGTCCCTGTGCAAAGTCACGGGAGACAATTCGACAGTTCACCCCCCATCTTCACGGGCCAGCCGTCATTCCCGCACCCCAACCGTCATTCCCGCGCAGGCGGGAATCCAGAGCCATTCGCTGACAGTTGCGTGTCTTTATTCATAGTGACTGCGTGTATTCTTATTTCCCCTCGTTGCGCCTCTTCCTCGTCGATATCGTGTCAATAATATGTATAACGGGTTTCCGTTGGTGAGCTGCTGAGATTTTTTGCGGTTATGTTCGGAAATCATGCTACTCCTCTGTGACTTCTGCAACCAGGATCTTGACCTTCAACGCCGCCTCTGAATGTAACGGCTATTGGTACGGCGGCTTGCGGTATCAGGAAACGAGCTGCCGTTCGAGTCCAAGCTTTTTCCCTCCGCAATTCCTCTTGCCCAATAGGTACGGAAGTACGTCCTTATGTGCTCTTCGATGGTACCAACGGCTCCCACCACTGATCGTCCCAACCGCTATCCCTGCCGGGCAATCGCCTGGATTTCTTTTACCGAGGTTCTCGTTGATGCCCCCTGTAGTCTGGGACACCCACCTATTCTGAGCAAGTGCTTGGTGAACACCTACGATCCCATGAAGTATTTTTGAAGTCCCGATGGATCCGCTAGGCGTCAGCCTTTCCCGGCGCGAAGCAATTGGCATACCACGGGTGCCGCTCGCCGTGCGGTTGGCGTTTGCACAAGCCTTATATTTCCACACCGCTGCGGCTAAAAACAACGGCGTGTCACCAGGAAGAGCGCCCACACAGCATCTCCCTAAGGCCTCGTTTAAAGATGAGCGAACATCGTCTGAGTGAGTGCGTTCTGCGACTGGCAGCCTTGCGCCTCCACGACGGAACCCTATTGCCAACCTTTCCTTTCCTGAAAACAAAACCCCCACCGCGTGGCTAGGTCTGCCGACGCCAAGGCGCCGAACCCGCTGGCGGCCAGCAAATACCCGCCAACGTCCGCGCCCTGGTGAGCAAACTTCGGGCGGTGACAACAGGGGCCAACATAAAAGAACCGGGTGGATCACCACGTTGGCTACCATTCCCAGCAACATATTCGCGTGGAAGGATGGCAGGCATCAGTCCCCCTTCTGCCCCCTCTCAGAGATTTCTTGGTGTCTCCGCCTTTCCGTGATTACGTCTACATTCGGATGCCTTCCACCAAGTCGCTGACAGGGGCCTATTCCTCTTGGACGGTGGGGCGCCGTGGTTGGGGTTCTGCAGGGCTCTCTCTTGGGGCCTGATTAGGGCGTTTTTCAATCGTGATAAAACCAATAACCACTCCAAGGTAAGGCCTGCCTTCTCCCCACACGAAGTTCCAAGTGAACCCCAACATTGCCGAACATTTTCCTCACACACGAATTCCGCCGAGAAAGGCCCTATCATGCAGCGGGGTCCCCCCTTTTAGCGTGACTGGTCGTACACGCGAGTGTTTGGTTCACGGCTTTTAGGCGGTGGCCTAACTGTGCGCTCCCCGCGGCTGCCGCGTCCTCGTTGGGCGACAGCCATTAAGGGCCTGCCGGGTCGGTTGCACAATGGCCAGCCCCACACCGCTGAGCAGTACGTATAGATAAGCATGGGATACTTGGACCAGCCCCGATTCCACCAGCAGGGCGAAGGCGGCGGCCAGGACCGCCATGCCGGCATTGGTGGTCATAATTAATTTACGACGGTTAAGCCGGTCTCCCAGGACCCCACCCCAAGGAGTAACCAGAAGTACTGGCAGGGTTACCATGCCGCCTACCGTCACCACTTGGACTGCGGAACTGGCCGAACCCACGGAGAGGTCACGTACCAGCCAGCCAATGGATAGAAGTTGGAACCACTGGGCGCTGTTGGCGAAGAAGTTGCCGGTCCAAAGCATCCGGTAGTCGGGGTACTGGATCAGGGAGTCCAAGGTATGAATACGGGGCAACCGTGAGCCGATAACCAAGCGGTTGCCCGAAGGGATTATGACGATGGTCAGAAGGAAGAACCCGAAGACCAGGATAGCCAAGCCCGTCATTACCATATCGGGAACGACCCTTGAGCAGCCAACACCGGGGATCTGCTATCGGTAATGTAGATGTGCGGCACTGGGCGACATCAACAGGACGTAGTGGTCTCCCCGCCTGTCATCACAGCGGGAACGTCTTGAGTGGAACTCCAAGGTTTTACCTTGGATCAAGTCCATCAAGACGTCCGAACAGGGCTGAGCGGGCTGGTCAAGAAAGCGAGACTGCGTTATTGCCGACAGGCTACTCCCCCAGGAATTCTTTGACTACCCGGATGAACTCATCCGGCCGCTCCAAGTGAGGCAAGTGACCGGAGTCCAGTTGCACCAGTTCGCAGTTGGGAATGGCGTCCCGGGTCTTGGCCGCTATCTCAGGCCCCATCAGGTCGCTACGCAGGCAATGTATCAGCCGGGTAGGACATTGGATTCTATTCAGCACATCGTAGACGGGAGGTGTAACCGGCCGCTCGCGGGGGGCCAACGGATTGGCCAAAGAGGAGACCCATTGCTCATTTACCAGTTGCTGGAAGCCGGTCTTGACTACTATGTCCATCGCTTCCCGGCTTATCCTGGCAAATCGGTCGAACTGTCTGAGCCAGGTTTCTATCTCCTCAGTCGAGTTATACACTTCCGGTCGGTTCGACATCGGGTCGCCCGACGGCGAACCGGTGCTATCTCCGCCTATGTCTACCAGTATCATCCGCTCCACTTGGTCCGGGTACATGGTGGCGTAGGTCATTCCGATCTTCCCGCCCATCGATTGCCCAACGTAAGTGAGCTTCTCCATGCCAGGGCCATAGTGAGTTCGTGGAAGTCTTGCACGTAATCTTCGGTCGTGTAGCTGCCCGTTGGAGAGTAGTCGCTCTTAGCCCTGCCCCGCGCGGTCACCGCCACGATGTGGTAGTCGGCTTGAAAAGCGGGCGCAACCAAGTCCCAGTAGATGGCGTTAGCCACTGCTCCGTGGGCCAGGAACATGTGCGGGGAATCGGGATTGCCCCAGTCGGTGTAGTGAATGTTGAGTCCGTTGACCTTCATTCGATGTTCGGTGTAACGCTTCTCTATGACTTGCACAGCAATCCTCACGGCCTGACTGAGATTCATTGGCAGCGGCCCTCGTCTTGGCCGCCCGTGGATGAAGTCGAAAGTAGTGTAGGAGTAATCCGTTACCCCTGTCAAACAACTCCTGCGTTACGGCAGGGCCTTTTCATTATCTCGTCTTTCCCGCGCAGGCGGGAATCCAAATGGTCCTGCCACGAGAAGGTTGCCATAGGCCACGGTCGTGTAGGTTCCCGCTTTCGCGGGAAAGACGAGACCCATTTAACCCAATCCGGAAAATGAAAAGGCCCTGTGCTTTACGGTTTCAGTTGCGCCCGGGCCAGGAGAGCGACTTGCTGGCAAGCTCGGCCCCCTCGCGCATCGACCGGAGCTTTAGCCACACCACCCCTTTGTCCACACGGTTGGAACCGGCGGATGTGTCAAACCCGCAATCGGTCCCCGCCAGCACCCGTGTAGGATCGCCTCCCGTGGCTTACACGGCCAAGTGCAGGCGGTCCGCCACCACTTCCGGATGCTCCACGTAGTTGGTCTTGGTGTCTATTACTCCGGCCACCAGCAGCATTCCTTCCGGCAGGGGGTGTTGCTGGTAGACCTTGTACTCATGGGCGTGCCTCGGATTGGCCATCTCCATAACCAACGCGCCTACGTTGGCCCGGTAGAGCAATGGCAGTATGTCTTGCAAGGGCACATCGTAATGGTGGGGGCCTTCGCTGTTTCCCCAGCAAACGTGCAGGCGCACCTGTTCCTTGGGGATGTTCTGTATGGCGTAGTTGATGGCCTCGATATGGAGGGCGACTAACTCCTGAAACTTCTCAAGAGGTTCATCCTGGTAAGAAACGTGCCGCTCCATGGCCAGGTCAGGGCAGTCCAATTGCAGGATGATCCCCTTGGAAGCGATGAGTTCGTATTCCTTCCGCATCTCTCCTGCCAAGGCCATAACGTAGTCTTCTTGGCTGGCATAAAAGTCGTTCTTCATGGTCAACGCGATAATGCCCGGCGAAGCCGCGCTCATGAACAACTCCTGGGGCTGGACCTCCTTCTCCGGCACGGCCGCCAGCAGATCGTCGCACTCCGTCTCTGCCAAGTCCAACCGTTGGTAAGACAGGGGCCCAACGCAGGTTGGAACGTCACGCATCAACTGGATGGCCCTTGGCCTGCCGATAGTAGGGAATTCGTTCTGGTCCCGGTGCCCCCGCCGGGTCCAGGAGCCTCCAAAGCCTGACATACGTTGGGTTACGTAGGTGGAAAAAGCTGACCCTGGACTGCTCTCCACCATTGATTACGTCCACGCCGGCTTCCGCTTGCGCTTGAACGACGTCGCCCGTGGCCTGACGGGCGGCCCAACGGAACGCCTCTTCATCGACCGGTTCCCCCCGGGAAACCGATCCTAGCATTTCAACCAGCGCCTCCGGCCGGGGCAGGCTGCCGCAATGGGTCGTGAGTATGCGTTCGGTGCTGCGTTTCATAAGCCGATTAAACACAGAGGGCGCAAAGAACACGCCGAGAGCACAGATACTCTCGAATCAGTTTGCGCCTTCTGCGTTGAAACCTCCTGTACTACCGCCCGTCCTTGATATAGTCGGCGACTTTTTCCCCTATCATAATGGTGGTCGCGTTGGTGTTGGCGCGTATGCAGTCGGGCATGACCGAAGCGTCGGCAACCCTCAACCCTTGGATGCCCTTGACCTTCAGGTGCTGGTCCACCACCGCCATCGGGTCGGAGTCCGGCCCCATCTTGCAGGTGCCGGAGATGTGGTGCGATGTGCCGGAGTTCCTGCGCAGCCAAGCGTTAAGTTCCTCGTCTGAGGACAGTTCTTCATCGGTCGGCATCACCCGTTCCATGACGATACTGGAAAAGGACGGATGATCAGCCAGTCGTACGCACATTCGTATAGCTTCCCTCATACGCCGCAGGTCCTCTTCCTCTTGGTAGTAGTTATAGTTCAGGAACGGCTGGACGTGCGGGTCCGTCGACTGAAGTGTAAGCTCGCCCTGCCCAAGGGCCAATTGCAGGCTGGCGCTCATACCGATGTAGTTCAAAATCGTCGTCGATCTCCACTTGGGCCGGACGGTGCTCACTGGTCATTAACATCGGGCTCAACTGCATGTCGTTGCGGAGGTCCGACCCTTCGATGGTGTAGCGCAGGCCGACTTGGATCACAGGCGCTTGAACGTCGGGTTTCTCGCCGACGGCCCTGAACAGCACTGCCGCGGATGGATGATCGCGCAGGTTCTTACCTACCCCGGACGAGTCGTGCACTACTTCGATGCCAAGGCTGCGCAGTTGTTCCGCCGGGCCTACTCCCGAGAGCATCAGAAGCTGGGGCGACGCCACTGCGCCGCTGCTGACCACGATCTCGTCGGCCTCTACCGTAAACACTTCACCGCCGCTTTCGGCCTCGATACCCACAGCCCTTTTGCCGTCGAATAGAATCCGGGCGGGCCGTGACATTGGCCCTGATAGTCAGATTCAGCCGGTGGCGGGCTATGTCCAGGTAATTAATGGCCATGCTCATTCGCACGCCGTCGATGGTGTTGCGGGCCCTGGGCGACACGCCGGTGGACTCAGGATGGTTCTGGTCTTCATCGATGGGGTACCCCTCCGCCACACAGGCCTGCTCGAAGGCCTGGGCGTGGGGCAGCCATTCGCTCCTGGGCATACGCCGGACTGGTACGGGCCCGTCGGAGCCGTGAAAGTCTCCGCCGCCAAAGTCCAGGTCGGTTTCCAGCTTGTTGAAGTAGGGCAAAACGTTGACGAAGCTCCACTCGTCGTTGCCCCACTCGGCCCATCGGTCGTAGTCCTCCGGAATCCCCCGGAACAGTACTTGCCCGTTGACCGCGCTGGACCCTCCCGTTGCCTTCCCCCTGGGAATGACCAGTTCCGGCTGCTCCGGTGTTATCTGGGCGGTGTAACCCCAGTTGTGCGGGCCGTAGGCTGAAAGCCACACGTTGTTGCCCATCTTCAGGTCTTCCGGCAATTGATCAAAAATCGGGGTAGTCCGGCCCCGCCTCCAGCAGCAACACCGAACGATTTGGGTCCTCGGATAGCCGAGTGGCAATTGTGCAACCCGCCGACCCGCCTCCTACAACGATTACATCGTACTTCATGCGTTTACCTCCATTTATTAGTAGTTCCGCTTGTACCCGATTCCCACATTTGGAGACTCCCAACGAGCCAATCAATCAAAAACGAACACGCACTTCCCTGTTGTAGCTCCGTCGAAGGTCTGGAACGCTTCGATCGCTTGGTCCAGGGAGTAGCGGTGAGTAATAAGCTTGGCCAGCGGGGCGCCCGTTTCAACGAAGAACCGGGCGATCTCAATAAGTTCAGACTTGCTGAAAGTCCAGGAACCGTAGATGGAAACCACCTTGAAAATGATGTCGCGGTTGAAGTCGATTTCAGCTGGGCCGCCGATTCCGACGTAGCAGCAACGGCCGAACGGGCGCAGGCACTGCAGAGCCTGGCTCCTGGCTTGGGGATTACCGGAAGTTTCCAGTGAAGCCGACGCTCCGGCGCCTCCCGTCAGGTCGCGGATGGCTTGCGCCGCGTCAACGTCGGCGGAATTGACCACGTGGTCCGCACCCATGTCCAGGGCCAGTTGCAGCCGCTCCGGGACCACGTCCGTCGCAATCACCCTGGCTCCCATAGCTTTCGCCGACAGTGTGCCGCTGAGACCCACCGGCCCTTGCCCGAACACCGCCACCGTGTCCCTGCCTGAAACGTCCATCTTCCGCAGACCGTTCCACGCCGTCCCGGTTCCGCACGAGATGGCCGCTCCCTCCTCGAAGGACAACTCCTCCGGCAGGTGGACTAACGTCCGCGAGGGGACCAGTATGTAGTCCGCGTTGGCCCCGTGGCCGGTGCCGCCGCCAAAGGTAATCCGGCCGCTGGGACACAGTTGCTCGTAGCCCATGGCGCAGATTTCGCAAACGCCGCAACCGGCGTAATGGTGACACATTACCCGGTCTCCAAGTTTCAGCCCCGGCGGCGCGCCGGGCCCCAACTCCTCGATGACGCCGCACGGCTCGTGCCCGGTGATCATGACCGTGGGAGCGGCGCCACGATACCGGTGCAAATCAGTGCCGCAAAGCCCTGACGCTTTAACTCTGAGAACCGCGTCGCCCGGTCCGGCGTGAGGGTCCGGAAACTCTTGAATCTCCGCTTCCCGGTTTCCCTTGAAGGTTACGCCGCGCATAGTTCTCTCCCGATAAGTGCGTTGAGGCGACGGACGCTGAAAGTGTGGCTATTGTAGTGGATGCTGACAGGATTCTACAAACAGAAAGCCCCACTCATCCATGATGCGCGGGGCAATGGTCACGCCGTTATGTAAAGAACGCCTTACATCTGGTTGGCGGAGCACTCCTCAAGGCCTTTGAACGGCGTCGCGGTTACGTCAGCGGAAGCAGGCAGGGCCGAGCCCATAATACCCGCGGCCGCAACTACGACTATGAACACCAGCGGAACAAGCATACGCCTCATAGCTCACCTCACAGGATAATGTTGCGTACAGTAGCCGGAGTATACCCACCGGAAATACGGACGTCAACGGGATGCCGACGGAGAACCAAGGCCTTTTCATTCTCTCGTCATTCCCGCGCAGGAACGTCACCCCCGCGAAGGCGGGGGCGGGAATCCCAGTCATCCGCTGACAGCAACGTTCCTATACTTCCATGCGCATGAACTACGTCCCTCGTCTGTGCGGAAGTGACGTTCCTGCGCCCTCCCTGCGCCTTCTATGAGGAAAAATAGGCGATGATCACCGTTATCGCCTCTTCTTTGGTGATGATGCCGTTGAAATAATCAATCACCGCTGTGATGGCCTCGTCCTTGCTGATCGCCCCGTCGCCATCCTTGTCATACCGGCCAACCACATCATCCAAGGTCACCACGATGGTGTAGGTGCGGTGTGCCGCTTGGTCTTGCGACACCACTGTAACTTTGATGGTAGTGTCGCCCTCCGCCAAGTCGAGTTGATGCCCCGCCGATGCGCCGTCGGCGTCCGCAAGCGCCGTGCTGTTCACATCCAGGAACCCGACGGTTGCGCCGTTGTCGTTGGTGGCTGTAAACGTGGTCCGGGAGGCGGTCGCATCCGCTGTGTATTCTGTACGATAGGGATCGAATTGCGGGGTCAATGTCCCCGGACTGATGCTCAGGCCGCTCAGTAAAACGTCGCAGAACGGCAGACCGGCAACGGCGAGGTCGTGGTCGGTCAGGTTTCGCAACTCTTTGGGAATGCACCCGGTAAACCCGTTCTGCGAGATGTACAACTCCTCCAGGGCCTGGAGGTCGCCCAGCCAGGACGGTATCTCCCCTGTGAACCGGTTCTGTTCCAAGTACAACTTCACTAATTGATTGAGGCTGCCCAATTCCGAAGGCATGTTCCCGGTCAGATTGTTCTCAGAAAGGTCGAGTACTGCCAGTCCGGTCAAACTTCCCAACTCCGTCGGTATCCACCCGGTCAACTCGTTTTTGTTAAGACGCAACTCCGTCAAGGCGGTCAGGTTGCCCAACTCCGAAGGTATGCTTCCGGTCAGGTCGTTGTCCGACAGGTCCAGTTCCCTAAGGCCCGTAAGACCGCCCAGACCGGAGGGAATCTGGCCCGCCAGCCCCTTACCGCCAAGTTCCAGCTTCACAACCCGCCGCGGATTTCCCCCCAGCGTCACTCCGTCCCACCGGTGGAGGGCCAGTCCCGCGGTCCAGTTTAGCCCCGCGGAGCCCGCAAGGTCGTCGCGCAAGGACAGGAGAGCGTCGCAGTCGGTCAGCAACTCCGGACCGCCGGCCAATGTTGTCAACGCGCCATCATTGGAACAGTCCCTCATCCCAATATTGGGGGTACCGGTTAGCATGTTTGACCAAGCACCGGCTCCGGCGCTGTTGACGGCCCGTGTCTGAACATCGTGTTGCGATCCGCCTGCCAAGCCGGTCAGTTCGTAGCTGAGATTGCCGCCGCCAGTCCTCCATATACCCTCCACGATGGTCCAATTGGCCTCCACCGTCTCATCGGCCTCCGTAGGGATGTATCGCAGGTCGTAGGACGTGGGGCTGGAGCCGCGGGCGACGGCAGGCGCGGACCAAACCACAGTCAGGGAGTCGTCTCCGGCGGTCAGGGAGTCCAGAGTGGGAGCAGTAGGGGTAAGTTCGTGCCCGTAGACCTTGATGGTCCATGAATTCATATACCCGGTCACGCCCGAAATGTGGTCGGTTATTCTGAGCTTCCACCGGCCGTTGGGATCTTCGCCCAAGTGCTTTGCCGAACCAAAGCGAAATTCACCGTACAACGGAATAGGAGAACTGGTTTCGTAGGGGTCGACCAGCTTCGAGACGGCTCCTGAAGGCGACTCCAACTCAATCTTAAGGTCACGGAAAGACGAATGTTGGAAAGAGACCTTGATCTCCACAAACTCGGTGAACTCTAATCCGTGTTCAGATAAAGCGTGCGGGTGACCGTTGTCGGGTTGCCTGGAGAAGAAATGTCGGGAATCCGCGCATTCAGACTTCCTGATGCGACTTCTCCACTTTTCAGCGGCGGCAGGTTGGTCCAGTTTCTGGCAAGGTCGACCGCGGCCTTGGCGTCGACTACCCCGAAGCCGTACTCGTGGTTGAAGTGGTACCTTTCACTGTCCGACCCATGCTTGAAGACGCCGTCTTGCCATCCGATGTTCCTTTCATCATTCTTTCGTGCAGTGTTGGCGAGAATCAGCTTCAAATCACGCCACGTCACCTCCGGATTAACTTCGCGCATCAAAGCGGCCACACCGGAAACTATGGGAGTCGATGCGGAGGTGCCGCCGAAGGTGTAACGATACCGGTCGGAATTCTCGATGGTAACGATACCTTGATGGCCCGGCCTCAAATCGTTCGATGGAGCGCATACCCACAGGTTTGCCCCTTCCTCGGAATAGTAGCTTCTGATACCGTCGTCATTGACCGCGCAAACCGGGGTTATCGCATAGTAATTTGAATATTCTTCAAGGTTGGAATTGTCTCCGTTGTCTCCGCCATTGCCGGCGGCCCACACATAAAAGGTCCCCTTTCCTCCGTAGCCTTTCTCGACACCCGTCTTCACAACGGCTTCCCATAACGCGGTCACTCGCACCAAGCCTGGATCGTCAACGCCTCCCCAACTATTGCTGGATATGGCGGTTACGCCTGGGTTACGACTCATGGCATCCAATTGGTTTAAGCTGACTGGTCCGGTAAGCAGGTTGTACCCGTATATGGTCGCCCTGGGTGCGACGCCGCGCACGCCGATATCATTATCGCGCGCCGCGATGAGGCCGGCCACCGCCGTGCCGTGGTGCTGGAAGGACCCGCGCACGTCGCCGTTTCCGGTGTAGTCGTGATTGAGATTCTTGTTGACGTTGGACGGACAGGTCTTCATGGTAATGGTCCACGCCGTCGTCAACTACGGCTACGTTGACGCCTTCTCCTGTGATGCCTCCGTCCCAAACGGGTTCGACGTTTATGTCCTGATCTTCGTTGTCTCGATTCTCCAAATGCCACTGGCAGGAGTACAGGTCATCTCCAAACTGATCGTCACCCAACTCTCCGGTCTGCCGCTGACAATCGTTGACAAAGTTCGTATAGGCGGCATCCTCCAGGACGTGGACCGTGTATCTTACGGGTGCCTCAGATATCACCCTGACGTAGTAAACGCCCGCGGAGAAGTCGTCCCCGATTTCGAAACCATTGGTCAGTGCTCTCTCATTTACGCTGATTTTATTGCCCCTGCTGTCCAGCACCTCACCGAATACAAGTGAATCGCCCGTGCTTCTGCCGTAGAGGTACAGGTTGGTGTGCCTGCTGAGGTACAGACGGAAGTAGTCAGCGTCGGTGGCAGTGTCAATTGTCCCAAGGGTTGGGGAGTCGAGGGTCAGACTGGTTGCGGAGGCAATATTTCCGCCGGGGTCAGTTGCGGTTTCCGCGCGTAGAGCGAAACCGCCGGTTCGTGTCCCGAAACTCCTTACTCTGATGTAGTAGGTCCCGGTTGCAAGAATCCGACGGATATGGAAAGCGCGGTATCTGTCCAGGATGAGGCTGTCGTCATTCAACGCAATCCCGTTGAAGTCGCTGTCATACAGCACTCCAATGGTGTCCAAAACTACGTTGGTGACGGGACTGCCCGAGGCATATATCCAAACGTCGGCAGGGTTGGATATCACCAGCTTGTAGTACTCCTCATCAAAACCTTGGTCGATGGTGCCCGCCGCCGCAGCTCCACCAAGGTTCAAAGACCCTCACGGTTCGGCGAAACAAGGCTGTAACCCGCCGCTTTCCGACCCTGCTGGTAGCCTCTGACCCGAATGTAGTAGGTCCCGGCTTCGAGTTCTTTCCGCATGAGGAAGTTGGCATCATCACCATCGTCGTCATCAGCGGCCAATGATGTTGTCCCGTCGCTGTCAAAGAGCTCTCCAACGGTATCGACCTCTCCGGTAGTGTAGACAAGGACCTCGGCAGCCGTATCGAGTTCGAGCTTGAACAGGTCTTCATCGGCGGTCCGGTTGGGGAGTGTACCGGTGACCGGGTCTATCAGGCCAATTGTCGGAGCGCCCAGGGTCAACTCTTCAGCCGTGGAAGTGTCGTTGCCCTGATCAGCTACCGCTTGGGCATAGATCCGGTACGGCCCTGTTCTTCCCGCAAACCCGCTGACGGCGACGTAGTAGGTCCCCGCCGCCAGCTTTTTCGCTGTGAAGAAGCTGAGGCGACCCTCCGAGTAGACGCTGCCGTCGTTGTATACGAGCAGTGTTCCGCTGCTGTCCAGCAACTCCCCCACGGTATCGGTGTCGCCGACGGCGTAGATCCATACGTCGGTCGCCGTTGACAGAGTGAGTCTGAAATAGTCTTCGTCGCCGCCTGAGCCGATAAAGCCGTATGCCGAATCGTCTATCGCCAGTGCGGCGGCGCTGGTGCGGTAGCCGCTCTGGTCTGCCACGTCTTCGACGTAAAGCCGATAAGGACCCGTTCTCTCGCGATAACCTAGAACGGCGAGGTAATAGACCCCCGGGTCAAGGGTCTGCCCGACAAAAAAATCGGCGGCCCCGTCGGATAAGGGACTGTCGTCGTTGGCCTCAAGTCGCACGCCTCGGTAGTCGAAGAGCACTCCTATAGTATCGACGTTCCCGGAGGTGTACATGACGACGTCAGCGGTCCCGGTTTTTGTGGAAAGGTCTATCTCGAAGAGGTCTATATCACCCGCGGGCCCGATGATCCCGTCCACAGCCACACCTATGGTGAGGCCGGTGGCGTCGCCTATGAGACGGCCCTGGTCGTCTCCCGTAGTAGTGTGCAAGATGTATGAGCCGGTCGCCGTCTCATACGCGCTTACGGAGATGTAGTAAGTTCCCGGGCCGAGATTCCTGCCAATAAAAAAATTGCGCGATTGATATGCGAGAACACTATCATCATTGGTTGCCATCAAAGCGCCAGCGTCGTCATAGACGGACCCGACGGTATCGGTGGACCCGCTGGTGTAAATCCAAACGTCGATCGATGCTGTTTCGCCGGGTATCTCAAACCGGAAGTAGTCTACGTCGCCGGCGGTGTTGATGACTCCGTGTACCGAATCGCCCAGCGTCAAATCCGTAGCGGCGTCGATAGTGTCATCATGCCTGTCAACATCCTGCGCCAGGACTTCGCCGCCGGCCAGGAGGGCACACAGGAAAAGGCAGAATGCCAAGCACAACAGCCTGACAGGTAACAGCATCAATAGGGACCTAGCTGGAATCGAGGGCACCTCACATCCTCACAACCACGGGGATAGGTACAACTGTGGACCGCGTCCGTTTTATTGGTCTTCGTTGGATACAACCGTTCCTAAGAGACTATCTCAAAACTGAGCGCTTGGATGTTAACTTTGTAGACGACCGCAGTCCTGGGGATTCCTTCCAAGGACCTCACCTACAGCGTAGATACTATAGACCGCGATAACGCGTGTCATGGAACATCGCGGCTCTTTCCGAGGCGGAATAGCTGCTGGTCATACGCTTGAACGCGTGTCACATGACGTGGCTAAGAGTGGACACCTTGTCGAGGGAAACGAGGAAGTTGCTCTCGAGTCTGCACCGCTCTGGGGACCCGCCGCGCCAACCCGAACTGGTCGATGCAGTAGGTCATAAGGGGGGACAATGCCTCCGCCAGTTCTTCGGAGCCGATAGGCTTCTCCCGGGTGTTTTGCAGTCGAAACCGTAATCGAGAGGTATTGCGCCCACTCCGCCGCCGAGCTCATCACGCACGGACTTTGGTTCACTTTGCCAGGGTACCTATCCCCCGTCTCTCCAAGGGCCGTCCAAACCTCTCTGTCCTCCCTGGTTCCATATGTGTTTTGCCCGGGTTCACCACCTCGCATCATACGTCCGTCTTGTTTTTTCTATTAGTATCCTGTCCTTTCTTCGCCCAGATATCCTTCGTTTCGTCCTTCTTCCCACCTCGCCTCCACTTAGTTAACTTCCCGACACTTAGGAAGCTTGCTGTCGCGTTACACTAACCTCTACGCCAACCCCCTCGCTCCGGCCTGACGATTCCTTCTGCTGGCAGTTGATGTTTCCACTGCCGCGATTTTCTATTTCCGGGTGGGGGTCCCATCCGACGGACTGCCGGATGCCGCGGAACCGGTTGGGGCTGGCCGCCTGCAGGGCGTCAAGCACCCGCTCCACGTTGTCGCCGAGGTTAAGGTTTGCGTGGCCGATGATGGCGAGCCCGAGCTTTGTGGCCGACCACGTAAAAGCCCGGTGGCGCTGGCCGCCGCGAGACCGCCTTGGCCGCCACTTCAAACTATCCCTTCTCCACTTCTTTCTTGTGTCTCCTTGTCGTTCCAGTGTTC